CGAGCGGAGCTACGCGGACGCCATCCGGGCCGACGTCGCCGGGGCGCGCCTGGAGCACGAGAGCTGCCGTGACGCGGTGGAGAGGGCCGAGCGGGACCTGGACGAGCGGCTCCGAGGGGAGTTGGCGGGGATGCACGGGTAAGGCCGGCAGATCTCCTCGGAGCGAGATTCCCAAATGACTTCCTGGCTCCATCCGACAACTCCGCCGTCTTTCCCGGGCAGAATCCGAGAAGAGTCCGCGGCCTTGGAGGACATGCTGCGGGCGGCGGCGGACATCGCCGGGCGACTGGAGAGCTCCTCGCGAGCCCTTCAGTCCTCCTTCACCAGCCGGCTGCGGGACGCCATCCAAATCCAGGTTTAAGACCCGACGCTTACCCGGACTCGATCCCGCCGCCGGCACCGAGCATTTGCCGCCCTTCCCGAAGAACCGCGCAACCAAGAGCCTGCCGGCAGCCCCCTGCCATGTTTTGCACCCGCGCCCGATTCCGGCAGTCGGGAGAGGAAACGGGCGCTTGCGTGCTTGCCACCGAGGCCGGGACGCACGTGACATAACCTGCGTGATTAAAGAGCTCATCAGGAACCGCACCGGCTCCTTTTCACTCGCCTTTGCGCCGGGATACGATCCAAAGATCAGTCGCGGTTAAGCATCCGGTCGGATCCTTTTCGGACCTTTCACGTCAATTCAGAGATTTCTTTGGAACTACCTAACACACATTTGGGGGGACAAGTGTCAGAACCATGTACCGATGAGGCGCGTAGAGAGGGGGTTTGCAGTCTCCTATTACCCCGAGATGGGACCGTCTGGTTGCAGAAAATCAAGCTCGGGGCTGTGGTGAGTCGTCATTTTCATGCACTTTGAATTTGCATTGTATCGTATTTTGAAGGCATTAAACATTACCATAGCGATCAGTGTTGCGGCCAGATTAGACGCTCCTTGTGTTTATTATTATATTTAGAAAACACCACCGTTTTCATGCAGCTCATACCATATTATTTTGTTGTATTATTTCCGCCACACCTTAAATGCCGGTCCCTGAAAATATTGTCTGACATAAACCGGTCCGTGGGGCAAAAAAGGTTGGGGACCCCTGGCGTAGAGAGTGCCTTTGCCGTTCTGAGCTGCACACTGAAAATCTTCCCTCTGGAAAATTTTCTCCAGCGGTCTGGCCGCTTTCGAGCGCCTCGTTTTCTGCCGTGGCTGAGTGCGCGTACGTCCCGCCGAGAGAGGCCGAAAAGCAAGGGGGGAGGGGACGAATGGAAAAAGTCCAGCGTCGCCGGAGGGGAGCTTTGCGCTGATGCGGCCACTTTAGAGTGCCTCGTTGTTGCAGCGTGGAAAAGCCCCTTGAAGAGCGGGTTCATGGCAACGAGTCACGGCATTTCCATTCATGTCCATCGGGAAAGATTATTTACAACGCCAGCGTTTGACCTTACGAGCGTGGCTAAGTCATGAATCACGGCACCGCTGTGTAGAGAGCGAGAGAGATTCACATTTCTTTCCATGCACGAGCACATACTGATGAGAGAGAGAGAGAAGGCGTGGCCATCAAGGCAGCAGACATTCAAGCCGAGCTGCACTGTGTGCGCGCGTGTGTTCCTCCAAAAGTGCAGGCGCTCCATGCATCTCCCTCCTCGTCTTCCGGATGGGTGAAAATGTTTTTTTCTCAAGTGCGCTTCCAAGATTTGGGAGCCCATTAAAGCAAGCGCGGATGCCCATTCACTGAGTGTCAAGCAGTTGTGGGTCAAGCCGGCTGCGCGTGCCAAGTACGCGTCAAAGTGCCCGTGAGATGTCTCGCCGCAGCCAAGAGGACGCACGGCGTGCTCCGAGATAGCGCCTTCACTCGCCGCACCGTCCGCATGGAGCCGCTTTGGTGCCCGTGCGCGGCCGCCCGTTGGCTCTGGCCGCTGCTCTTCTGGCAGGCAGGTACGTGAACGCAGCGCCGCCCGCCTCCTCCAACGCGTGCATTTGGGCTTTTCACTGGGTCCTCACGGCACGGGCTCTGATGCGAGCGGCTCCAAACTGAGTGTGTTTGGACTCACCGGAAAGCAAAAGTCATCTCAGGAGCATTGTTGACTTTAGATCAGTGGCGTCAAACTCATTTTAGTCGCGGGCCAATTATGACCACAAAATGATCATTTGTACACAACCGATTAATAGATTACGAGTTTTAAAATCAATTACAATAGTTTGTTCAATTATTGTTCAGGTGAGTGTGAACAGGGTAACAAAATTATTGCAAAATCTCGACGTTATTTATGACACATGGCAATCTGACATTTTGGTCGAGATTTTAGCAAGTTGACACAAATGATTAGCTTTCACGGGCCACATAAAATGACCTGGCGGGCCGGATCTGGCCCCCGGGCCTTGAGTTTGACACCTGTGCTTTAGATGGAGAGAGAGAGAGAGATTTTTTCTCTGGTGAAATAACATGGACACCAAAGAATTCCTCTTTTGCCACCACTTTTATAAAAACGGATTTGTCGGGCAATGTATTGGTATGAATAATGACGTTTTTTTTTTCCACCACTGCGATTAAAAAAAAAAAAAAAAAAAACGAGAATAATTTAACAAGCGAGCCCCGAAAAAGGCACAGGCGGCAAGAAAAGCAAACGTGGGCCGGTCGTGATCCCTGCGCTTTGCTGTTGGGCCAGCGGCGTGTCACGCGACGATGCCCTCTCACGCCGAGGACGAGCTCTTCAAAAGGCTGTTCGCCGGCTACAACAAGTGGTCCAGGCCCGTGGCCAACATCTCCGACGTGGTCATCGTCAAGTTCGGACTGGCCATCGCGCAGCTCATCGACGTGGTGAGTGGCGGCCTCGCTTTTTAGGGCATCGCGAATCTCCCTGACGTCACTTCCCGTCTGTCAGGACGAGAAGAACCAAATGATGACGACCAACGTGTGGCTCAAACAGGTGGGAGGAAACGCACCTTTTTTTGGATCACTTTGGCGTGACCATGCAATGAAATGTCGGCTCCAAACGCGAAGGCGCGCGTCCTTGCTTGTTTTGTTTCGGGATTTGATGTTCGTCCCCAGGAGTGGAACGACTACAAACTTCGCTGGCGGCCGTCAGATTACGACAACGTGACGTCCATCAGAGTTCCGTCGCAGCTCATTTGGGTGCCGGACATTGTCCTCTACAATAAGTGAGTAGACGGGCTCGCAAAAAAAAAAAATGGTTGTGAAGGCGCTAGAGAACCAAAGATGAGTTGAGTTCGGATGATGATGATGAAGATTCCTATTGGTGGGCCGCGGCTGAACGTCACTGACGTGATTGTGGCGCCCTCTAGTGGTGTCGCGCGTCGCGGCTCCACAAATCTCAACTCGGGGACAGTTGATTAGGTACACGAGCTCAGCAGGGAGCTCCATCCAAAATGCGCCCGCTTGGGAGGCAGACGGACAGGCACGCGACACGCAACGATGTGGCCTCTGCTTGTGCCGCTCCGATTCAAGATCAAATTTGGCGATCCATGTCTGGCTTCACCGAGAAATCCGTTTTATTCCGAAGCAGTCATGGGGGGGGTGGTCGACTGTCCACGTCAATGAAGGCGAGCTCACTCGGCTCCGGTATTTTATTTTCTTTGTTTATGCGGGATGCGAGAATGATCTGCTTCATCATTTCAGAGGAAATGATGCTGGAAATAATGTTCCTGTCAGCGAAACGGGGGGCCCGAGGGAAGGCGGGACGGAATTTTTACGGCTCCGAGCAGCCGTCGGTTCGAACGCCCAAGAGAAGAGCCGGAATGTATCGGTGACCCGTGCGTGTTTGGCGTGTTTCTCGGCAGCGCGGACGGCGAGTTTGCGGTGACCCACATGACCAAGGCGCACCTGTTCCACACGGGCGCGGTGCGCTGGGTGCCGCCGGCCATCTACAAGAGCTCGTGCAGCATCGACGTCACCTTCTTCCCGTTCGACCAGCAGAACTGCAAGATGAAGTTTGGCTCGTGGACCTACGACAAGGCCAAGATCGACCTGGAGCGCCTGGAGGCCTCGGTGGACCTCGGCAACTACTGGGAGAGCGGCGAGTGGGCCATCGTCAACGCGGTGGGCACCTACAACACCAAGAAGTACGACTGCTGCCACGAGATCTACCCGGACATCACCTACTTGTTCATCATCCGCCGCCTGCCGCTCTTCTACACCATCAACCTGATCGTCCCCTGCCTGCTCATCTCCTGCCTCACCGTGCTGGTCTTCTACCTGCCGTCCGACTGCGGCGAGAAGATCACGCTGTGCATCTCCGTGCTGCTCTCGCTCACCGTCTTCCTGCTGCTCATCACCGAGATCATCCCGTCCACGTCGCTGGTCATCCCGCTCATCGGCGAGTACCTGCTCTTCACCATGATCTTCGTCACGCTCTCCATCGTGGTCACCGTCTTTGTGCTCAACGTGCACCACCGCTCGCCCAACACGCACAAGATGCCGCGGTGGGTGCGCGCGGCTTTCCTGGACCTGGTGCCGCGCTGGCTGTTCATGAGGAGGCCGGCGCCCAACGCCAGGCGCCGCAGGTTGCTGGCGGAAAGGCGCCGGGACCGGGCGGGGGCCGGCGTCAGCACCTCGGCCCGGTGGGCCGAAGAAGCCCCCTCCCGCTCCCCGGGGGACCTGGAGCTGGGAACCCTCGCCTCCTATTTCTCCTTCC